AAAAAAAGAGGTGGTATGCTATTCGCCATGTTCAGAGTTTGTCTATCTTTTGTTAACAAATGCATACAAATTGTCCCTACAAGTTCCATAAATAGAAGACTAGTATTTTAATTGATTCGTGTTGTTATGCGCGCATTTATTTTAAAATGTTTTCTTCTCTTTCTCAGGAAAAAAAAATACTCTAGCATGGGGTGATTGACCTGCAACTATGACATATAATAAATGAACAAAAAAGAGCCTTCAAACACGATCAGGTAAGACCGTTAACGGGGTCATACCGTGAAAAAGAGATTTGAAGTCAATAACCGTGCTAAATAGTCACTTGCATCGAGTGAACGGTGTGGCGGTGTGACAATTTGTTGCAGCGTGGGTTTTTATACTGAAAAAGAAACCGTATATTTTTCGTCGTCTGTCTGCAAATGTGATTGAGAGAAGGATTAGAGAAATAAAAATCAGCGTCCTACATAAACTAGAGGGATTGTTACTGTGTCTTGCAGCTGACGGCTATCTGCTACAAAGATGCAGAATACAAACTTATCTGCGTATTTGTATCTTCCTATCAGTTTAGCTTCTTTCCTCTTGTTCATTTTCATTATAGATCGTTCTTTTCAACCCCGTATCTTGTCTTGTTATATTCTTTGTTGCACTGTCGTTCTTTGCTTGCTCCAAATACTCTATTCATATCTACCTTCACACTATCATGCCTTCTATGTGATTTATTTTGTCATTACCTTCTATATTCTTCAAATCATCTTTTTATTATGACCTTTTTTATGTCGTACTGAATAAAGTTTCTGTTGTAGAAAGATATAATTATGTGATGGAGTAAACAGACTACTTCAGCCTTCCTAAAAGTACTCCCTTTTTTATCGTTTTCCCTGATTTGCGATAATTATTTCGATAATTCTTCTCCACATTGTCTTCCATGTATTTCTCCCACTTAAATACTATTTTACTGCTCTGTTTTGTTTCATCACTGTAAATCAGTTGCGTACCAAGCCAAGATAACGCAACCTCGCAGTTTTGTTCTTTCTCTCGCTCTTTTCTGCAACGAGGTCCTGGAGCGATAAAACCATACCTGTCACCACCCACCTTTCTCTGCCACGTTTTTTCTCATTGGTAATTCGTCAGTCAGTGCGCATAGAGTGTGGTCTGTCCGTTTCTTCTCTCACTTTCAATGCCACTTTCTCCTTCTTTTATTTTTAAAAATATGTTTTTACTTTGAATTTAACGTGTAAGGAGAGTAATATTTCTCGCCGTCTTGTGGAATATACCTTAAAATTCAGGACCTCAAATTTATGTACAGTATGTTAAGATCTTAAGAAATAGATTTAACAATTAATATTAAGGTGTGTCATTATTGAGCTTCTTAGTCATAAATCTTTCATGCACTACATATGGTATCATGCTTTCTGTTCAATTTTACCCCTTTCATTGGGAATTAATACTCTTACAGCAATGCTCTGATCAGATCGAATCAAAAGTTTTAATCTTTCCGAGAGGATAATTTTATTATGATTTATTTGTGAAATTTTTTTTAAAAAAGATATGACGCAGATTACAAACTGCAGCACATCCAACCTATTTTATTGGTGATTATTGAAAATAGCGATTGTGACACAGTATTTTCGTTTCAAATCGAGTATGTTAATTAACATTAATTTCATATTTATTTACAACAAAATGTCCTTGTTATATTGGCAATTTCCTCATCAGTCGCGAGAATTTCAAACATAAATACAGCGCGTCGCGGGCAGCCCCGTGCTGTATCGTAACGAATGCGCTTAATGCCAGCGCACGTCGATTAGTCTGCCTCTCCTGGATTCCGCGTACTTCCCAGAGGGGTGTCCTGCGACGCTCGCCTCCGCTCCGCGCCGCTCCACCTGCCCCCGCAGCCCGGTTCTTTCCGCCACAGCTGCGGCCAGGCTCGTCACCCGAGACGCCGCGCCGCCCGCGCCGCCCGCGCTGGTCAGGGCCGGTCGCGGAACAGCGCGGCGTGACAGCTCTGGTGCGGCGAAGCACGGCCAAGCACGGCGCGGCGGGTGGTGCAGGCCGAACCGTGGCGAATCGCTCGCCGAGCCCAAGGCGCCGCGCCGTTCACTGACCAGCGAGGTCGCTGTGATCTACTGGGCTGCCTTCAGCACACGTAACCAAGTGAACTGC